TGAGAACTGGCGACTTGGTAGTACAACTTTAGTACGCGGAGTATCTGGGGAGTGGGAAGATGAGAACTGGTGACTTGGTAGTACAATGACTTGGTAGTACAACATTAGTACGCGGAGTATCCGGGGAGCTGGAAGATGAGAACTGGCGACTTGGTAGTACAACTTGAGTACGCGGAGTATCTGGGGAGCTGGAAGATGAGAACTGGCGACTTGGTGGTAGAACTTTAGTACACGGAGCAATCTGTGGAGCTGAAAGATGAGAACTGGCGACTTTGTAGTACAACTTTACTACGCGGAGGTGACTTTCGAGAGGTGAAGAACTTGCAGAAAACAGGTGTTCCTGCGCTTCAGAAAGACATACAGAGAGAGACACACACACACAGACATAGATACACACACACAGAGACCCACACACTGCCTCAACACACTCGACTTAACACTTCACACTGAACACTTATAACACACTTAACAGATAACTCGCACTCTGACTTCCTACGTGATGAAAAATGCTTTCGGGCCACTCGTCGTCTAGTTTTTTTCCACTTCCATGTGTTCGTCAAGAGATGTAATGAATTCTTCTTTGTGGTAGCGGTGCGGAAGAGCCAGGTCATGCGAATAGGTGACATGCGCCACGTGAATCTCAACGGCCAAAAGCAGCGCCGCTGAGGTGAAGGCTTGCAAAGGCTCGACTGGAAGGCGAGGGGTCGGCCTCTATACGGCCTATAGGGGCAGTCCTGTGACGAGGGCCTCCCCACCATCCAGAACCCATCTGTGACGAGGGTGGCAACAGGTGAACTTGGGGTTTTCTGGGCCCAAGATGCGTGACATCATGGGTTTTGGGGAGAGGGTTGCACGGCTGCACCCCAAACACGCCCATGCTCAAACTGAAAGCCTTCCCTGCTTGGAGGTTTTTGGGTCGACGGTGTGCTGCGACAGGAGGGGGACGAGGGCGTGCTGTTCAAAGCCTTAGACTTCGACGGCGATGGCCTCGTGAAGCCCAGCGGCTTGAGCCTCTCGGCCGTGGTGGCGTGAGACGCAGGATTGAAGCTGGAACTTCAAGCAAACATTGATTCAAGGATGATTTAAGTATTTATAAATAAATATATACATATGGGGAGAGAGAGAGAGAGAGGGATGCGATGATATCCTGAATATCTTCATCAAAGGGATGAGTACATGCAAACATTAGATGTGATGGACTCCAGAGATAGCCAAGGAGGTAGCCGTCAACACCTTTCACATACCTCCACCCGCGCGGTCGAGGCCGCGATACTCCACCTGCGCGACACTCCGTTCCGCATCGCCCGAGGGTGGCTGGCCATTGAGCTGAAGCGTCTTCGAAAGAAGAGAGTGGCCAAAGAGAACGCTGCGAAGGTGGAGAGAGCTTGATCAACCGGTATTTTTGATACAGTTACACTGATAGTTACACTGATATATACGATGTCTTGTGTAGCATATGTAGAACCATTGAGGTTCAGATCTGGAACAAGACACCAAGTGGATGAAGTGGGCTTAAACATCTTCTGAGTCTTCTGCTTCTGATGCTACTGTAAGATCTATTTTGGACCGTGGTCTCATCCTGGTGCTCAGTAGTGGTGTACACTCATGCCAAGCTGATATGTGCCGTTCTTTCCTCACCAGTGCTGGCTCACGGTTTTCTTAAGGAAAGCCGGCTCACAGCCTCCTCCGTTCAGCGAAACCGTCGAGTCCGGGCGCCAGAAGAAGATGCCTGGCATCTCCTGGGAGCTCCTCGAACGACAGTCCGGGACCCGGTCGAAGACAGCGCTACCGCGCGGACGCGGTCGGACGAAGTGAAGTACCCCCAAGGGCGGGTGGAGGTTATAGGAATGAAGACAAAGGTCCAAAAAGAGGATCATTTATTTGGGCAACTATGGCAAAGGTAGATTTTATTTCATTTTACTGACTATTTATTTTACCTTTATTCTTTCCCAAAGCAACTCTGGTCGCCAAGCTTCTGCGATCGTCTCACTATCGTGTTGAGTCTGAGTGGCGACTGTGACTAGATTCCCTACCTGAAAACATTATATTGGTTGTTTGGACATTTGGAGATCGTGATTAGATGTTGGGGCTGTGCTTTGCTTGGAAAAAGGTCCTTCGAAAAATGTCTTCTTGGCAAATGTGGACAATGGCTAGATAAACAACGGAGGTGCAAGACCTGAACCTTTTTTTCTTGACCTGAGGTTACGCCATTTTACATCATCTTACTCCTTGACTCCTTGACACTTTCCACTTGAATGACCATGCAGTCACCAGTCCTTCTCGGTTTCACTTGAGATAGGTCAACAACCATATACTGTGTGATACGGTGTGCATAAGTAACATAACAACCTAACATAATATATATCACAACATTATATATTATATTATATTATGTATATATATGATATATGTGTGTATGTGATTATGTGTGTGTGCTGTTATTTGTTACTAAAATCCCTCTTGCGTCACTCTAGCCTTTCTTGCATTCTCCTGTCTTGCCTCCTGCCTCCCACACCGCAAGTTGCAGGTTCCTTGAGTTCCGGGATGATCTGCGAAAGAGGCCGATCGCATGGGCAGCGACCGGAGCGATTCCTTGTCGGCCGAGCCGACCAACTCTGTTGCTGTCGCCTTTTACACGGGCGCGAGGCCGACGGTCGCGCACCGCCAGGTTTGGCAATGGCAGCTTGGTGCGTGCGTGGCGTGTGTCCTTGTCAGATACCATGATCCTCCCCAAGACGCGCTTCTTGAAGGACTGGGGTGCTCTTTTTTTTGTTTGCGCCCGGTGCGGAGATGAGCAAGGATCCAAATCTAGAAGTTTGCATTTTTAAAGCAGTGCTGGTGGAGCTCTTACATGCGACGGGTCATATTCACAACTAGAAGAAGTAGAAATCATATGGAAGAAAACTCCCGCTTTCAACGGACTTCCGCCATGTCACCCGGCCAGTTTCACGGCTTAAGAATTCACCGCTTCTTAAGCAGCCCACTATGGAACTAGATTCGGAGGATTGGCGTCTGAGGGTCCTAAACTGTTTGGGATTTGGCCGGGCAGTGGAGGCCTGTGTCAAGATGGGCTATGCCAAGAAGGCCAAAGAGCTCTGGAAGATCTTGGACAAGGAGATTTCCGGAAGCCCGTTTCCTACTGGCCTTTGTTTGACCGCTATATATTCCACATATTTACCTATACATCGGGACACATTGGGTGGTTTCAGGGGTCAATGTAGGCATATATTCCACCATGGAGTGTTTGGATACTAGTTTGCTTACCCATTCCACTTCCAAAGCAATTGCGTATCTATATATACCTAGATCTTCAGTCCGGCACTTTTACAGGGTCCGGCGCCGGACTTCCAACTCCGGCGTTTTTCTGGATTTGGTCCGGCGCTTTTTCCAAGTCACTTTATGTGGATTCTCAAGGCTTTGCATTCTTTGTGGTCTGCATTTCTTTGAAGTTAAACCCACTACTGATGCAATGATTTTGTTTGCAAAGTGTGCTCGTTTGCCTGTTCCGCTGTTTTCTCATTCCACCGGTTTCAGCATGGTTCACACTGGATCAATCAGATCCGTTTAGCTGATCTTCTAAATGAAATCGGATGAAGCCGGTACAGTGCGATGCACCTGTTGAAAGACCCAAGTGGGTGCACCTAAGCTGAAAGAGCATAGGCAAAAATGTACAGTACTCCCATTGTTTCAGGATGTCGGGGCGCTGGGATATAGTTCTAGCTGCGCAGGTTTGCAGAGCCTGCCGGACACGTTTTGGGCTGTGGAACATGTGTTGTTCAGAATCTCAATGTTTTGCAGAGAGTTGTCAAAAAATTGCACGTCGTAACTCCGGCGTAATCTCCCGTAATTCCGGCGTAATTTCCCGTAACTCCGGCGTATTTTCCCGTAACTCCGGCGTATTTTTGTTGGACTGAGTGTTCTGCAGGCTTTGATTGTGAACAGTTTTTCACAGAAGAGTTTTGACAGGAACCATGAGTTCTGCTACTTTATTGGGGGGCCGTCCTGAGGCAAGCTTTAAAGAAACATTAAGAAGCATGAGAATCATGAAGAGCAACCCACTTTGTAAAAAAACACTTGAGAGACACGGTTGCAGAGAAAGAGGGGTTCCTTGCCACATACTCCTTGGTTTTTTCTTGGAAGTCTTTGCTTGGGCACAAGTTGCTTTTGTTTTGTGATTTCTGCTCCATTCGGAAGATGGGCGAGGGCAATGGGAACGGGAAGGTTCGAGTGTGCTCCAGAAAAACTACTCGCGGCGCAAAGGCAGTTTGCTTGTGTATGATCCAACCTTTTATCATCTCTGTTTTTCAGAATCTTGGATCCGGATGTTTTTTCAGGTCTCCGGCGTTTTTTTCGGAATCCGGCGGAAAATTTTGCCGGATTGAGGTCCGGCACTTTTTTCCGCCCAAAGGAGGATCCAGGTATACAGTAGTTTAAACAAGAGGGTGAACACCAGCAAGACAGTCTTGCTGTTGTTTGCTTGTTCCATTGGGGACGAGAGGGCATCAAACATGCACCGCCCTTGGGCTCGTGTTGCCGCTCCTGCCACCTCCACCCCAAAAACATCCCATGTAAGGCCGGTCGAAGAGGTGTTCCGAAACATGTGGTTTATACCTCTAATTATTGGAGAACCTCAATTGCTGATCATCCGTCTACCCTTGACTCATGGGCCAAACAAATGCAAACAATCCAGGGGTCACATGGAGGGCCTGGGTGGTGTGGCTCATCCCATCCGTTCCGGGCCGTGGATGTGTTCGGGGCACCCCGACTTCGGCGTCCGCACCCCGGTGGCCACGTGACCGCATGGCTGGCACAAAGCCCATCCGACCCCCCCCCCCCGCGCTCCACCGAGTTGGCCGGGCCTTCGGTGGGGGCACCCGGTCGGCCAGAGCGGCTCCCACCAGTGGCGGTGCAGGTTTGGAGATCTGGTCTCAGTTCCAACCACTCCCACTACCCCCAGCACTGAAAGTACTCTGAAATCACACATGGGAGTACTCTGAAATCGGCCTTCAAGCACATCTCATCACTTGGAGGTCGTGTGTGCTGGCGGAGCATTCCGCAAGGGAAAAACCAAGACCGCAGATTGGGGGCTCACCTGCAGGTATAAACGGCATACTTAGAGGCTCCAAACAACCCTTGGTGCCTCGAAACCTAGGCTTTGGAGACCCCTGACCCCTCCATATGAGGGTCCAGGATCGCATCTGGGTAGAACCGAATGGGTTGGATGAGAGCCGCTGAAGCTCGTCCGCCAAGAAGCCTCCAGGATGAGAGCGGCTTCGCCTCCATCGATGAATTGGATCCCAAGGGTGCCCAGGTGCCCCGAGAAGAAAACGGAACGCGGAAGATGCAACAGACCGGTGTTTTTGGTACATTCAGTGGAATCATCATGGAACTGGATGGTGTGTGTGTGTGTGTTCTTTTTTTAAATAAGGGGATGACCATGGAATTCGAATACCAAACAGGTGGTGCCATCCACTTCCTTGATGTGTTTGAGACAGTACCTGAATTTTCAGAGACGTGAACTTGGCAAGAGGCGGGGAGACGCTACTCTCAGGAGATGGGGCTCTCACCCCCCCCAACAAGTTTTCCCCTCTCACCCCGCACATCAAACACAACCAGAAGTTCCGCGCCGCAGCGCATCAAACCGCACACACCTGCATACTAAATTCCGTGGCGTACCCCATTGCCTGCCTCACCAAACTACCTCTCCCATCAACTGCCTGGCTGAAAGAACCGCCCCCCCCCCAGTCGGTCTGCCAGGTCTTAGCTCATTTCAAGAAGTGCTTGGACGAGCGCTTCGCCAGCATCGCGGATGCCTTCACCTTTCTGGACCTCGAGGGCACACGGAAGATCCGCAAGTCCCAGCCCCTCGCTGCGGTGCTGCGGTGCTTCCAAGCGCGGGCCCGGCTTGGGGGCCGGTGGTTGGTGATGGTTGGCCAGCCATCAAGAACCACCAAGAACCAGTCAGAGTCAGTCAAAGAGGGGAATTGCCTTGTTTTATGCTGGAACCCCGGGGTGGGGTGGGGCCTGAAGGTCTAAAGTTTCGTCGGGTGGGAGCTTTACAGAAACGCCAAAGGATGCCAACGGTTTTGGGCTGAAGTCGTTTTCCAGAATTCTGGGAGAAGGAGTGAGAGATGGTGAACCTTGGCCAAGATCGGCATCCAGTTTTTGTCCACCTGGTTCACATTCCCCCAAGCAATCAGGGGCCATGGGGCGCCATGGCCCCGGCAGGATGACGGAATCCGATTGCCGGTGTTGCCATCCACTTCCATGATGTGCTCAAGGAGTGCAATTATTGCTCAAGGACAGAAATTCAATGTTCTTGTTTCTCCAGTGCCTCCCAGGACAACTGGAGTTTCGTCAAGTTGGTTGCCTCATGTTGCCTCTCCAAAAAAATTACCGAAACTGGAGCCATCCATCAGCCCATCCATCCAAGAAAGTTCGAAGCTGCCACCGTCCAGCGCCTGTTTCTTTGGTTCTTTCTGCACTGGGAAAATCAATGAGGCGACACAGCCCGACAGAACACCTGGAGAAAAACGCCTGGTTCATGGGCTGACCGCGGTGTACCTGCTCGGAATCTTAGGTTCGAGGCTGCCTTGAGGAGGTTGGAGTTCCCCTACTTGGAGCCTTGGTGGAGCCCCTGGTGCCTGCGGACGGTGGTGGAATGGTGGAGTGTTTGCGGCGTTTGTTTCTTGGTGATGTTGGGCGATTCCCACAGAGAAGGTCCGGACTAGATAAGGTCAGAAGGTAAAACACGAATGAGAGACATGTTCAGTTCAACAACATGTGTTTGTTCGGGTGCGTCCCATGCCCCCTAAAAAATCGGCAAAGGATGATCACCTTTTTTGGAGTTTAAGGAAAGGCTATATATATACCAGGACCCTCCAACAGGTCACCACCTGCGACTTTTAAGTCTCCAAAAGCCACCAGAGGAGACCTGTTGGAGGGTACTGGTATATATATATATATATATTCATTATATATACTAACCATCATCCACTGAGCCCCGGGAGGTTGGCGATATACAGCGGCGATCTCGGGAGTACAACGACCTTGCGTCGTCCACGGATCGTTCCTAGAGATTTCGTTCGTGCCAGTTGAGCAGTTGGGGGTCCTGGGAACTCCCCACAGCTTGGCGAGGGCAGGGGGCCTGACGCGGCGCCGTGGAGCTCAGGACACAGCGGCGGAGCTCTTCGAAAGTGGCTTGGGCTGGTGGACCTTCCTTATTACGGTCAAGTCAAGGCATGGAGACAGCATGGAGATACACTATCCAACACCCCCCCAACCTGGGGACCAGGAACATCAAGGAACCATAAGGAATCCCAACCTTGAGATCCACAACCCACCGCAGATTAAATGGCCCGGTGAGGCCGATTCTGACCCCCCGCTCATCCTGTGGGCCATCTGAAAAGACATCTAAATGAACTTTCCTGCGGATGGAAGGACAATGGGTTGCTCAATACATACCATGGTTCCATGGACAAGTTGACCAGCTCCAAGGCTTGGATGTGGATGGGAACCATTTGTTGGAAGAGGATGACATTCAGCTCCTTGCATGAAGAAAGAGCTTGCCAGCTGCCAGCTTTGATTCGTTTGTTCGCGGAGGGCCAGGTGGGAACGGACTTCAAAACACTTGCGACCTCCGAAGCTTAAACAGCTAACAATGCTCAATGGTGAAACCAGGTGAAACCATGTCAAACCAAAAGACCTAAGACTCGGCAGAAAGAAACCACCCGAGCCTCTGAATCAGACGCACCGGACCGCCGGTTTTGGAGCCCCTAAACCGCTGAAGACCTCGCCGCTCCAAATCCTCCGCTCCTCCACGAACTGCATTCACCTGGATCCAAAGATGAATCACCAGGACCTTCTGACCCAACTTGATATCCCAGGATGGGATCACTTAGGTCTGTACAAGGTCACAAACAGAGACTCCAGTTCGAGGTCAACGGCTCAGGTCCTGGCAGCTTATCACGGCTCGGTGACCGACCGTCCGTCTGAACGTCCGTGGCGTCAGGTTTTTGGAGAAGTGGAGCCCCTCACCGATCCTCACGGCGCAGCCCAACGTCAAGGCCCGCGATGAGGTCAAGGAGGCGCTACTGCTGAAGCAGCTGGGCGTAGCAGGCTTCGGCGTGGTTCATGTTCGGTGGCAGGGGCGGAGGCGATGTCGGCGGCCAGTGTTGGTCTCCGCGTTTATTTTTTTCGTTGCCTTGAAGGCCTGAACTGTGTAATCCTTTCGTTGTAGGGATGTGTCGTACAGCTCATTTGGATTTGGAGGATCTTTCCACCTGGCCTGGTGTGAAGTTTCGAACGGTTTTTCCATCTTCTTGGTGAGACAGTTGCAGAGTCCTTGAGAGAGCGAAAAGCTGGTCCCTCAAGGGAGCTCATGGGCAGAGGTGACGTTTGCCTGCCCCACCAAGGACATGATAACATGCATAAGATGCGTGATACCACGTGATGCCTCTAGTGGAACTTCTGGCTTTTGGAGCTATATCGAAATATATAGGCTTAAACAAACTACACTATCCATACTGAATCCATACTGTATATATGCTACGTTCTGCACCTGAAGACACATGCACCTGAGAATCCATGAGAGAGATGATGTCCACTCGAAAGCCACTGGCTCTTTTTTTCGCCCCCGAGTCGAGGTACGGCCGACCGGTGAAAGCTTGGTACCTTGGCACCGGACGTCGCAGCATGGGGCGCTGGGCGCGTCGGGGGTGTCCCTTCTTCTATTTCACCAGCTGAAAACCACCCATGAAACCACCCAAACACCACGTCCATTGGCTTTGTTGAACTGTCGGATGAGAATCTCCTGCCGGACGGCACCACTTCTGGAAAAACAAAACACGCACACGTCCTAGCTTGTAAGAGCTTCATTTAGAGATTTTGTTCCCCCTCCCGCACTCAAGCGCCTGGATCTCCCTGCTCTCAGGAGGCATTTGTTAGATCGCGATGGCAGCAACCGTCCGGACAGCCCAGTCCCGACGCCTCCAGACGCGCTGGGTGCACGGCCACCGGGCAGACCTGCCAGCGCACTTGGCAGTGGCCCTCCATGGAAATGGACAGGTCAACTAGTGTTGAGTAGGATGCAGGGTGGCAGTTTTCCCCCACAAAAAAGGTGGCGATTAGTTAGGTTTGAGCATGAGAAGAACGTCTCATGGATTGACGATCTCAAGGTCGGAGAAGGAAGGAGGCTCACAGAACTCACTCGGCAAAGCACCTGCTGCGAATTCGCAGGTTACAACCAGATCAAATCCAGTGAGAAATCGTATATGAATCAAGGGGTCTAGATTAGTCTAGATTGGCATGAAGATCCTCAAGTGTACACTCCCCCTGTCTTAGCCATGCATTGTTTGGAGCCCTTTGCAGTGTAGAGAGCTCACTCCCCCAAGACGCTGGCTGAGTTGAGGCTGCAACTGGCATGAGTTCCTGAACGCTTGCAAAATCATCGGCTTTAAAGGCAGGATCCAACCCGATATGGGGGCATTGAATTCGCTGGCGAGATCCTCTGAGACCTGGAATTGACTTTAGGATCAGATGGAAGGCGAGTTGAAGGGTTCAATTCATGGAATCCAGATGGCTTCGAGGGCATCTTTCTATTTTTGTTCGATCGTGCATGACTGAAGGAAAACACATACGAAGTAGCTGCTGTATAGAATCCTCCTCAAAACGAGCGAATCTCATGACCCCCAAAGCGTCCCCCCAATTGACGCTTCGTTTTTCCGGCCTTCGGTTCCGCGCGGCTTCTTCCGCGGGTCCGCGCGCCACACCAGGCGACGTGGCCGGCGCCTGGCGGGCCTTCGACGAGGATTTGTCTGGGCACGGGATTCCCGGATCTTCGAAGGGTCGTCGGTGGTGCTGAAGCGGCCGAAAACGGAAGGTCGAAACGGATGAGGATGGATGAGGTGAGGTGATGTGAGGAGGGATCAGATCAAACAGCACCCTCCAACAGCTCCGCGTTTCGTGGTGATCATGTTATTTGTTTTGTCCGAATTGGCCTCGTTACTATGAACGTTTTGGTTCCTTTGATATGTCAGTGTCACTTGGCCGGCTGTTGCAGAAAGGTGGAGGCCGATAAAATAGAGGGCCCGCCCGGCACCTCCGAAATAAAGCACACCGTTCAACACCTCCTCCAAACGGGGGACACCTGTTGAAGTCGACCTTTTTAGAACCCACCAAAGGTGCCCAACGCTTGCTTCTCTACACGAAAGAAAGCCTAGCACAGCTGGTCTACACATGTCCTTGGGCTGCTCTGAGCTGGTCTACACTGCTCGCGGTCGCCCAAAGACCCGAGCCGAGACCCAGGTACATTACGCTGAAGGAGCTGGACCGAGAAGGCTACCGAACCTTGTGGGACTTCAGGACCCCACCAGGGTGGGACGTCCACCGGGACTCCACGCGCGGGGTGGGCGAACCGGGATTGGTCGGAACCAGCCGTGGGGCGAGCGCAGAGGTGTCCTATATGGGTGTCCTGGGGTTCAGCATTTCACACCAAAAGTTGATCCAGAAATGAGGCGACCGGCACCCTAGATGCACCCTAGCCATTCACAAGCAAGCTAGCAGCAAGCAAGCCCTTTTTTCCGAAATCGACTCTCCGCGGAGCGGATGCAGCAGCTCCGAGCCGCCGCGGCTTCGGAACCGGGTCAGGACTTGGGCCGTGGACGAGTTTGGCTCAGCCCGGGCCGCCTTCAGCGTCTTCGATAGCGACAACTCCAACAGCCTCAGCTCGCAGGAGATACTTCCGGATCGATCGATTTTTCCTTGCTGACTAAGTGGGGTTGGTCAAAGAATGTCAATGAGGGGACTTTTCTTCACAAGCCAAACATGGTTTGTTGATGTTTGTCTGACCTTTCTCCTGGCGCAGTTTCTTCAGACCCCCCGTGCTTTCAGGGGGACACAGCGAGGTCCCGGAGTTCTTCACAGCGTGGTCACTGACCACCTCGGCCGTCGCAACGCTGTCCGGCCTCAAGGGTCCAAGATTCGGACGCCTCGTTCAGAGGAGGCCGAAATCGGATGGATTCCAGAAGTGAAGCTTTCCACCCAGACGCGACCCCTGGACCCTTCGTTCAGTAGGGGTCCGGACCCTGAAATCCCTAGGGTTTTGAGGGACCAAGAGCTGTGAACGGAGCATTTGGGCAGTTGCAATTCTTTCCTTTCAATTGTCCACATCTTTGCATGATTGGGAAGAACATGCAGTTCATTCATTTCCAGTGATGTATTTTTTTCTCGGGGCGGTGAAGAGAAAGAACACCTGCAGAAAGGGGGAAGTTGGCTTCCACCACCTGAACTGCACTTGACTTGCTTAAGAAGCTGTGTCATTATAGTTCCATTCATCCATCTCCCAAATTCATCAAACTTTGAGCTTCTCAAACTACCTACAGAATGCTTGCTCCCAACCTGGCCACCTGGCACCTGGCACCTCTTTTGCCGCATACTCCACACTCGCACTTCCGAAACCCACGCCATGAAACCCACGAACGGCAGAGGAGTTTCGTGCGGCCTGTCGGATCTATGGCTATGAGGGTCAGGTCAAACAGCTCTTCAACACCTTGGACGTCGCTTGGCCGACCCACGACCCCCACGACCCCACGACCACACGGGATCCGGGATCGGACGGACCGGGCCGATTGGGTCCGGGAGGGAAGCGCCGAAGCGCTCCTCGACCGCCACTGGGTAGAAAGACATCGGAAGAAGCCGCGGTGGAGCTCAGTCTTTCCGGAAGAACTCCCGCAAGCGAGGGTTCCGAAAGCATCCAGAAGCGCGAACACTCACGAGCTTCTGGGCATTCGTGGGCCCCCTGGGCAGGCTAGCGGTGTGAGCGCGTCGGAGGGTGAGACTTGAGCGAGCTACAGGAATCTTTCATGGCTCAATTTGATGCATTTTCGCAGAGTCAGCGGGCTTGATCTGAGCAATGGAGATTAGAACGCTCTCAGGTGTCCTCGTCACCCAGCTTCATGAGGAGGAATTGGGCTGCATGGTGGAGAGTGGAAAATCTTGTGGGGATTTAAAGCGGCTCCTGGCCAGTCGGGTTGGATATTCCAGGTTTCGACAGCGACTTTTGGGTGAAGATATGGGCGAATTGCAGGATGAAATGCCTGTAAGACAGATACCTAGTGTGCAGTTGGTAATCCTCGGCTTTTCTGCACCTGAGGAAACCGTTTGGGATCAACTGCTCCTTGCCTGTCGGGAGAATCAAGCTCTTGAAGTTGCAAACTTGCTAAAGACACCACTGAATCCAGATGGGAGATGTGCACACAGGGACTCTCCACCGATTTGGCATGCAGCACAACAGGGCCACTTGGAAGTGGTGAGATTGTTGATCGAGGCTGGAGCTGACATGAATGCGAAAGACGCACAATATCATGAGGACACAGCGTTGTTAGTTGCAGCGAGGGGGGGCCACTTGGAAGTGGTGCGTTTGTTGGTCGAGGCTGGGGCTGACATGAATGTGGCAGACACAAATGGGGCAACAGCGTTGTTACTTGCAGCGAGGAGAGGCCGCTTGGAAGTGGTGCGTTTGTTGGTCGAGGCTGGGGCTGACATGAATGCGGCAAACGCACGTGGGGCAACAGCGTTGTTAGTTGCTGCACAACAAGGCCACTTGGAAGTGGTGAGATTGTTGATCGAGGCTGGAGCTGACGTGAATGTGGCGAACGCAGATGGGGAAACAGCATTGCTTGATCAAGCAGCACGGGGCCATTTGGAAGAGGTGCGGTTGTTGCTGAAGGCGGAAGCTGATATGAATGCGGGAGACGCTGATGGGGAAACAGCGTTGTTTGTCGCAGCTGCACGGGGCCACTTGGAAGTGGTGCGGTTGTTGCTCGAGGCTGGAGCTGACATGAATGCGGCCAACACAGATGGGCGAACAGCGTTGTTTTCTGCAGCAGAATTGTGCCACTTGGAAGTGGCAAGATTGTTGTTTGAGGCTGGAGCTGACATGAATGTGGCCGATGTGGCAGATATAGTGGCAAGAGCTGTGCGTGCTGCAGCGGGACGTGGGCGCTTGGAAGTGGTGCGTTTGTTGGTCGAGGCAGGAGCTGACATGAATGCGACAAACACACGTGGGGACACAGCGTTGTTAGTTGCAGCATCGAGGGGCCACTTTGAAGTGGTGCGGTTGTTGCTCACGGCAGGAGCTGACATGAATGCAGCAGACACAGATGGCGCGACAGCGTTGTTTGTTTCAGCTGAATGGGGCTACCTTAATGTGTCAAGATTGTTGATCGAGTTTGGAGCTGGCATAAATGCGGCAAACACAGATGGGGTAACACCGTTGTTTGTTGCAGCTGCACGGGGCCACTTGGAAGTGGTGCGGTTGTTGCTGGAGGCCGGAGCTGACATGAATGCGGAAGACGCAGATGGGGCAACACCGTTGTTTTTTGCAGCAGGATGCGGCCACTTGGAAGTGGTGCGGTTGTTGCTCAAGGCAGGAGCTGACGTGAATGCAGCAAACACAGATGGGGCAACAGCGTTGTTTGTTGCAGCAGAATGGGGCTACTTGAATGTGGTGCGGTTGTTGCTCGAGGCTGGAGCTGACATTTACCCTCAGCAGGCTGAGGCAGCTCGAAGGTGGTGAGATTGCTCATCGAGGCTGGGGCTCAGTTCGCATGCGACAAAGGCAGATTGGGCAACAGCATTGCGACAGATCTTGCGCAGCACGGAGCCACTTGGAAGAGCTAAAACATGCGTCCATTGGCTGCGTCCAGGAGCGATGGGGCAACTACTTTTAGTGGAGTTGTTGTTCAGTCAGATGGACCCACCATTTTATGGGAAGAACGGTGGAATGCACAGAGATCATGTTAGACATGTTAGGTAAGAATAAAGATAAGATGGTAACATTCATTAATTATTCCTCACTCCGACACATTTACACTCCCTGAAACAATCATGGAAGTGGAACAGTTCGGCCCCTGGAAAACCTATTTTCCTTTACAAGTGAGGCCTGCGCAGCTTCCATGATTGTTTGAAGGAGGGTATTATATACCATTTTCTATCCAACAAAGCCCCATGGACCGCATCCCTCAACCACGCCCTGCTTCACGCCCTGCTTCTCTCTCTGCTTCTATCGTGGAGGTTTCAGCCGAGGGCGCTTTATCCCTGAAGGAGGCCGGACAGACAGGCTGACCTGCCTGAAGAGGCTGTGAGAAGTGAATCCTCAAGAAGTACTTTTCACTGACTTGAAAAGCCACGAATGCAGGAAGAATCACAGCCACTTGGAGCTTAAAATTCGTTCTGCCTTCCTTGAGATGTCATGCCAACGCAGAATATCAATGGATCTCTATGGCATATCTGTATATAAATATATGCTATATAGTTCTAAAAAAATATGCGATCATGATATGATGTTATTGTGTGGTCAGTCTCGCAGTATAGGGGCAATCCAACTCCGCCCGTTTCCACCCAGATTGCAGAGCATTCGGTAGTGGGCCAGTGGAACAAGACAGTCATGTGTAAATGGAGTATTGCGTGAACACTATTTGCACTTAACAAGTCACGTCACTTCAATTAAATCCTCAGGATCCACAAAACTCGCTCAGAATCCTTCAAACATGAACCAGTGTCTAGCACACACTAGAGGAACCCCAAAAGTACAAATCCCGGCACATCAACATGTGCTGCAAGTTGAAAAATATCAAGGTTTGGGGTATTTTTCTTTTTTCCAGGACCAAGGTTGGCTACAGAGGATCAGTGAGAACACGGTATTCTGTTCTCTTTCGAAAACCCCCCCACCTTTCCGTCACCTCGACGGAAAACCCCGTTTCTTTCGCCCAAACCCGACGTGCGCGACGAGTGTTCGACGGCTCGACGGCCAGGTGTCCTTCCTGGACGACTGGATCGAAGACCCTTCCGAGATCTCCAGCCAGGTCGCGACCGACGGCGTGGGGGACGGCGTGGGGGGATGTGGCTGCGCTGTCTCGGTGGGTTTGGCAAAGGTTAACACATAAAAACACAAGTACAATATATGGTAAAATATTGTTAATCTTAATATGTTATTTAACTATATGTTGTTGTTTTTAAACAAATGATATCATATGTGCAGTAATATTCGATTTTTAGTATTGTGGGTTCCGATGTCACTGAAGTTGGGTTATTTGGGAGACTGCGTGTCCGCCCTTGACCCGATGCCTTCCTTGGGTGGACCTGAGTCCCGTCACGAAGCGTTCTTGGCAAGTAGCGATCGCATGATTGTCTCCAAGTAGGGGAGCACTGCACGATAGGTAGCAAATACCAGTCAGCGAAGACGGGGGCTTTGGTGATTTGATTAGAAGAAATCTATCTTAGTTTGGCTTTAGAACGAACTGGAGCCAAAAGATTCTTGATTCTTGGTTCAAACTGCCCCCAGTTCTTTAGAATGAACTGGAGCCCCCAGTTCAAGTCTCAGAATCTTTTGGCTTGAGAATTCCTACTTCTGGTGACTTGAACTGGAGCCGATTCTTTGGATTTGGATGGATGTGGGCCATCGACTTCGACCCATTCAGTGACTGGGGGGCACTTCGATCTACACCCCTCCAAGTTCTGCACGACCCCATGCAGCCCGCGCCGTCGCGCGGTCCGAGGCGCGTAGGGTTTCCACGAACTGCTTGGTGACTCACCTCCGCCCCTTGGCCACGACCGCAAGGCGAAGCATGAAGGATCTTAAGGAGCATGAGATGTGGGCTTTGGTTCCCCCAAGTGTTTCTATCAGGCCTTTGCGTGGTTGAAACCAATACAGATGACTGCTAAAGTCGTGCCTGCATGTTGGAAATCGTAGCAAATAGCTTGGGGAAAGGTTTTTTTTTTTTTCAGAAGTCGTGCCTTTTTGCTCAACGCATTGTAAATGCAATCCGAAATGGTGGTTTTGAAGCTTTTTTTGATGTATTTTGTTGCGTTTAGCTTCAACCCTTCAACTGTGGAGGAGGCGACCCAAGTTGGAGATTTGATGTCCACTCTGCGGAAAAGAAAGCAGAAAAACAGTGAAGAAAAGCTTGAAGCCGAACCACCAGCCAAAAAACAGACAACTCAGCCACTTGCACCTGAATCGACTGCTTCAGATGTACTGGCTGACAAGTCGTTGAGCGATGAAGAACATGACTTAGGAACAAGTGATGGATGTATATCATACATTTTGTCTTCTTTCAGCAAGTCCCGAAGGGATGAAATCAAACCGGTGGCTGAGTTTTTCGTGTGCAGCCACCTCAAACCACTGTGCCGAAAAGAGCCATTGTGGTCCGTGTTTCAGAAACAGGTTCTGAACAAAGGGATTTTGAAATCCACCTCCGGCCGAAGCGCTTGGCTATCGGCATGGCGTGCAAACCGTGGAAAGCGGTTTGCAAAAGTTGCCAAAAAATAGAATTCAGAGATCGCACGGCTCCAAAAACTGTTGCGTTTAGCTTGGGGGAAGCATGAAAGGCATGAGATAGGCATGACTTTCCCAAAACTGCGTTTACATGCTGGAACACATAGATTTCAGGACGCAGGCGTGAGTTAGGCATGAGTTTCGCGCTTGCCTGTATGGCTTCGTCCTCTTTGTTACAAAGCCATTGTAGTATATGGTTCATCATATAGATTCATACCACTCAAGCTACACCTTGTTGCTTGTTGAATCCCTGGAAGTCAAGTCGACCATTTTTAAAACGGTTGATCTGGTCTTGTCGTGTCAAACCGTCAAAGGTTCGGGATGGTTCGGGATGACCCGGCTATTAAACCTAATGGGGAAGTTCGACTTCGACCGGTCCAATTCCGGTGACGTCGACGTCGCCTCAGGTGGTGATCCCTTGCGCCGCGGCGCGCTAACAGGCACCGACGCAGCCGGGAAGCCCTGAGAGCGGCGCCGGGCGCCGGGCGTCTTGGTGGTGTAGAGCTGACCATCCGATGGTGGCCATGTATGGCCTGAATTGTGGCATTCGTGGGTTGATAGTAGGGTTCCGTGGGTTTGCAGGTTTTGACCTTGACATGTGTTTTTGTTGGGATGGGGATGGGGTGTCACATATGATGGATGGACACCTGGACAGCGTTGGGACCGACGGGCGTGTCGGACGTTCAGACCGAGACTTGGAGCATTTGAGGAGACCTGGCTTTTCTTCATGTATGATATACTATCGACTAGTGACAAAGGAGTTGTAAAACGCATTCCCTGGGTCTTAATACAACTCCTTTGTCATGGGTCTTAATAATTGTTTTAGATGAAAATTAGTATATAATACATTCCCTGGATCCGAAAGTCACCTCTGAGCGACCTGTTGGTCTATGACTTTTCCTTGAACTTGATCGAACATTTTGTCCAAGAAGCACCGTTCATGTCGCGCATGTTCGCGCAGTTCATGTCCGTTCATGTCCTGTGAGTCCCTTCATCTGGTTTTGTACCATTGGATCGGAATTCAATGGACCTACCCGGAGAAAGTGGAGCAGTTGCTTAAAACCTGTTTTTGTTAATCAAATCACTCCAAAAGAACGGGTCGAAGATAGATGGCCCTTCCTGCAACAAACATCGTTGCGTGGAGTTCACCCCTGTGTTTGGGATTTCAGGGTTCTTCCAGGGGGGCGCCATCCACGTCACCACAGGGAGGGTACCCATGGCTCCCCACATCTCATGTTGACCAACCCGTCGCAACAAGCACCGCAGATGGAAGAGATGCAACAGAAGGCGTGACGTGCGTGGAGTCAATGTGGTGTGTGTGCGCCACACAACAAGGACTGCATTCTGACTGACTAACATGGAAGTGGAACATGCATGCAGGTAGTATAGTCTTCTTTGAGAACAGTTTCTTTTTTCCACCGTGTTTTCCCAAGTGATGTTGAAGGACAGGATCCCTTTAGTGATGCCTTTGTGGTGTTCATCTCCTACCTCCTCTTTCATGTTGATCCACTAGCACCGTTATCATCATCGACACGGCCATGACATTAAGAATAACAGAATAGCATGGATTCAAATGATGTTTTCTGCTTGTTAGTTCCCATGTTGAGCAAATATCATCCCATCATCCGAAGGGCAATGTTTGTGCACAAAATTTCAATGCCGCTCCTTGCACTTTCAGGTGGTTTGATTTGTAGATTTTCTGGCAGATGGTGCTGCTACTGTCAACTGCACCACCCGCCCGTACTAGAGTCACTAGTTCAGCTGCCCGCTAGCGGGTCACCATAAAACTGGCTGAGAGGTAGCCACTAGCCATTCAAACCCTAGCAATTCCTTGTTTGCCCGGACGCCACTCTACACCAATCCAATAGCATCCAATAGCAAATCCTAGCCGAATCGTGGCTGTGGATGCAAACAGATGTTAGGCTCCCAAACTCGTCTAGGAACGGTGTCCAATACATCTTAAGTGGGGATCTATACACATGTTCTATCTCTATCTGGAGGTAGAGTGCTTAAAGAACCATCTACAAGGATCTATCTATGGTTCTTATAGATGGTTCCTTATGGGTAGAGTGTTCAAAGGATCTTTAAAGAACCATCTATAAGCAAGGCCCCGACCTCTGCTGACCTCAGCCTGTGGGCCGCCACGTGGCGGCGGTGACTTCCTTCGTTCGCACAGCTAGACAGAGCTTAAATCAAGAGCTTAACGTACAAAAACGCTTGATCCAAACTCCATTTAAATATATTTGTTTGCACTTGTTTGCTTGTTATATCGGCTTGTCATTGGCTTTTTTCTTGTACCCCCCAAAACGGGGAGCCTTCAAGTGGCCCAGCCCAAGGTCCAATCCTTCCTTCCTTTCCCAGCCCTTTTGTGGAGCCCTTGGGCGGGTCTCACCGCTGTCCAGGTCTTGGCGATGGAGGAGGCGGAGGAACTCCTCAAGACCTGGAAACGCCCCGCCGCTTGCGCTCGATCGGCGCCTGTCGGTGGCGGTGCTGCGGTTGGGATCATTTTTGGGTTGGGCACCGGGTCAATGCGTGCTTCAAAAGAAACGAAGTGAATGGAACAGCTGGGGTTGTTGGTCGCATCACGACAAAGGAATTCGCGGCCCTGCCAGCCTGGTGCAGAAAGGCTTCCCAGGCTCCAACTCAGAAGGTTGATTCAAAGCCTTTCCAGATGTCCTACCCTGGCATTTGCAAGCTCAACCTTGGGAAGGCCAGCTTATACAGAAAAGACTCGTTCTGGCGCCTTCCAAGGCACAGTGCCAGATTTCCAATTTGCAGCTTTCATTGGACACTGTGCTTCAACAGAACAATCCGGCCTTGCAATCACTGCAGTCGACGCCCATGGCAGCTACAGTCACGGGTCGGTCAGAAATAACAACCAGACCACTTGGGCGTGGGACGATAGACTGAGCACCATGCATTCGGGGAACATGCGTCACACGCACAAACATCTTAACACCCATGACACCAACAACCTCGTTCCATGTCAGCTTCCAACCACACTGAGCGACTAGGGGCACACCCCTTTGTTCGTTAAAAGGGATCACACATCAAGACCTTCAAGTTTTGCACGCGCGCGCGGACGCAGCACCCAAACGCTCGAGGTCGAGAGTCCCATGAAGCTCGTGAAGCTTTGTAGGACGTGGACCGGCAGGGTGGCGGGTATGTGTCGACTAGGAGGAGATGTCCAGATCTCAGCTGCGAGGGCTGAGACAGTTTGGATGAGGTGGGAGGTTTGCAGAGTATGTTTGCCTTCTCCCCTACCCTACCTACTAAGATTTGCGTACAAGAATTTCATGACCGTTTGTCCTTTGTGTGTTTTAAGGAGCAGGTATTTGTGCCGCAAATTTACAGCAATTGCAGTATCACAAAATGAAGTGCAAGAGACCAGTTGATAGGCAGTCTCGTGGCACCATCACCAGTCCTCATCAAAGATTATGGACCAGTGCGGAACATAGAACTAATATGCAGAAGAGTATGCAGACGCTATCTTGGTGGGAGGTGGTATGAGTTGGCTGGAAATTGATCCGCTAATACATGCTAATACACATGAGACACAGTAACTTTCCTGGTTCACGACTGGTTCATGACTCTATTCAGGAGCTGCTGTTCATCACTTTGTTAGTACACATAATAATTATACAGTTATACACATGACTTGTTCACACACCGGTTTTGAACGTCTCACTTCAGTTTTTGAGAATGAAGTAACAGGGAGTACTTTGAGCTGCGTATGAGGTGACCCCTTTAGCAGGAGGGAGAGTCCTGAACACTGTGTTGGACGACTCCTGTTCATGAATTTGGACCTGTGTGGATTTGGAGCTTCTCACAGTGATGAAAGTACAGCCACACGAGAAGGGTTGGAGGCCTCGGCAGAACCCCAGTCGAGTGACACCGCAGAGCTCATTGCAGGAAGCACTTCAAACAAGATGTCGGAGCTCCAAGATGTCCTCAGTGGCGAGGTTGATGATGATCTACAACCATCTACAACCCCCCAGGATCAATAGGCTTTGACTAGGGCCTAGGGCGTGTGTCCCAGTAAGCCAGTAACAGCCGGTAAGAGATTATCACTATTTGTTTATCTATTTTTGGGAAAGACCTGCAACCTAGCCATCATCATCCACTGTCATTCGTAGAGTATACCCATGTCACAGGAGAAGATCCCACAGCCCCCCCCATCGACTGTATAGTTGGGATAGAACGCACACTCGAGTCCCGCGGAGTCTCTATACTGGACGTCAGATGAATCAGACTCCTTTCAGTCCCTTTCAAGGTCCGTTTCAGTGCTTCCTTCGGAGCCGGAAACCGGTTCCGTGCGTTTCTCCGTTGAAAGAAAGGAGCCCAAAACGGAGGTCGGTCGGGTCGGGTTGGGTCAGACCGGGCCGAAAAGGGGAGCTTTTTCGGATGGATGGCTTTGACCCGATGCATGGCTGCTTGGATGTATCGGGTCATGACTCCTATTCTTCGGGTCGTCCGACCAGAGGCCGCGATAGAAGTTGTGAAGAGTTTTTTAGTTGATGTCAAAAAAACGCGGGCAAAACGCTGAATGAGGCGAGCCCTCAGGGTAAGAACAGCCTGGCTTCCTCGGAAGCTATGCGAATATGATCGACATAAAAGTCATGTCCTTGGGGGGGGAGTCAGGATTGATCATGGATTCTGCTGCAGAGGTGGCTCAATTCTCCTGACTGTCTCAGCCTCCACTCCAACAAACACACTCGTGTGAACACTCGTGGACACTCCTTGCTGGGATGGAAGCACCGTGCCGCTCAGCCATCCACTGCAATAGTTTGGTTATATTTTTTCGATGGTATGGGGTGCCAGTCCCAAACCGAAACTCAGCTGCTTGGTGTGGAGTAGAAACTGCTTACGAGCCTCTCATTACCAAGGCACTCAGAACGATCGAGAGGCAGCTTGGGGATGTCGGCTTGCGTGGTCCCGGAGGGAGTCAAGCATAGAATTGCGCTGGCTTTGATAGTTAGTTAGGGCATGTGGCTACCAAGTGTGGAAGAGGGCGCCTTGTTCGTACACAAAAGGATATCGCACAGACGCTAAACCAAAGCAAGTAAAGATAAACTTTTGAGTGGGTAGGTCAAGATCTGGTCAAGATGGTTCGAGTTGGTCAAAGCGATCCAATGTGCTTTTTGTCCCGGGATTTTCTGGCAGGTTTTCCAGGGGATTGTGCAGCGCCAGCCAGTCATTGATGCGCTCTTCTTCTTCTGTCCGAGACCAGCACACTTCAAGAGTCTTGACGAACAATTTCTCGGTCAATGGATCTGGTCAAAATGGGAAATCATCTTACGCCACTGAAGAAACACTGCTACCCTACATACATCTGCACATATCTCCAGTCGGTGTCCAGTCGGTGGCTATCCCGATGTCGACATCGCACAGGCCTGGTGGTGCTGTGATCTTGGATCGACTGGCTGGACCCGACTTTTGTCTGCGCTTCTTCTTGAAGCCTCTCGGCTGAACTGGCAGGGTGTATGGGGTATATCATGGTATATCACTTATGAATCATCAACATTTAGGGGGCATGGCGATGTATGGTGTTCTGAGTATGTCTTCATGTATTGCTTCGGGCCCTCAAGATGTATTGCGGCGATTGGTCTTATGTGTCCAACCAGATTGATGAGATTCCATATTCGTCACTTATAGTTTGTACCTCATTTGCCCTCAATGTAGTCTCTTGACTGAGTGAGTTCCCCTCAACACTTTCTTACAAAGTCTTGCAACCACTGGTCGTGCATGGACTGACCACTGGTTCTAAAAGTCCTTATTGGAAGATGAGCACTGAGCACTACTCAGTGTGATGTGCCATTAGCTCTGGGGATGCGAAGCCCACCAGAGCTGTGAAGCTTCAGATTTTTCACATGTCCAAGGACGATTCCCTAGGGCTCCTGGCCCACCTCCTGAGAAGATGGTTGGGGTGGGTGCCAGCGGGGTCTAACCACCTTCTGAGGATATGGTTGGAGCCCTAGGGATTATATGGTAACGTGAAACGACCAACCCTCCAAGTGCTGCAACACCCTTCACCGTGGCGCGCTTCACCCGGCGCCGCCGGAGCAAGCGGCCTCGCCACTGGAAGACAGCACCCCTCGGTGGGTGAGGCAGATGGAGCCCGCCAGCGAGACGAGATCCAA